CGCCGGATCAGCAATGACAGCTAACCGGTCTTCTATCGTCCGCATCGGTGGACCCATGGCTGCCGGAAAATGGCTCTGATACCAAGTTGTAACACACGGGTCGGATGAAGGATCGATTCCGGCGATTGATGTGTAGGATTGCTTGAACGGAGAGAGGAATTGCAGGATTAGAAGAGAAAGGGAAATGATTAAGAAAGAATAGAGTAGGAGAAGAGAAGCAGAAAAGGAAGATCGGAAGCAGAGGAAGGGAAGAAGTAGGGAAACAGTTCTGGTAAATTCTTATTCGATAACCAGTTCAGTACACAGCTTACCTATTTATATGACTTCCTCAATTACAAAGCAGTCCCCAAACTTATACATTTTACCATTCACTCCTAATCGTTACACTCCTCTAGCTCCGAGCGTAGATCCACCCACAACCGCTACTCAATTCGCTGCCAACCCCATTTTTTTCTCTCCGACGATGACTGGAAGAAGATTTGTCATCATTGATTTCCCCTCTCTAACTTCAATTTCTGGGTTTGGTGATGTGTTTATGAGTTTTATAATTTATAGGGTCGATCCTGGGGTTCAGAATTGTATATTCAGGGTTTAAAAGATGCCATGGTAGTTTGGAGTTACGACTGGTATGGATGGAATGAGAATCGATTATAGTTTTGAAATTGTATTTTATGGGCATGATTGGAGGAAAAAGGGTCGTCGCCGATGCAAGGTTGAAGAAGGAACGAGAAAAGCAACAATAAATTGGGTTGGGTCAGGAGGTGTAGGGAAGAGAGATGGGCAGGTCACGGGTTTAATTTGCAAGATTTTAATTTCACGGGTTGGGTTTTTTATGACGTGGCGGGTCAGATTTGCTTTTTTAGATTAAAACTGGGTGACTCATTACTTATGTTAGCCACATTAGCAAAATATTGACGGTGTTAACGGAGGCTGATAGAGACTAACGAAGAGTGACCACGTAAAATGTTTAACCACTTTCAGTGACCACAAATAGAATAAAATACTTTTAGTGACAAAACATGAACATTCTAGCACTTCCAGTGACCTAGGGCTGATAATCGGTTTGGTTATAACTGGAACCGTTTAGTCGGTTCTCGGTTAACCGAATAACCGTTAAGCAAGTTATTCAAAATGATTATACCATAATAGCCGATTGATAACATAACCAACACAAGACTTACTTCTTTCAATTGTGAAATTTTTTATATTTTTTCATACATCCGCATGCGTTCTTTTCTTAAGTTGTTATCGTTGAAGAAAAAATAATTTAACATAGATATATATATCAATACATAATCAACTCAATCCAACACAAGAACACAATAATACCATTCTACCATCAAACTTTATTAAAGAAGCATACAACGATACTCAACAACAATTACTCAACTCGTAAACCTCATCAAATTAAAATGAAAGCTTAAGGTTACCAATTGTTGTCGAGCAACTGTGAGCAAGTGTAACTTTCTATACTGTGCTCCTTCTAAAACTCTTCCTTTAAATTATTCTCATTTGAGTCTAAGTCACTATTACAACTAGGATAGACAAGGGGTTTTGTAAGCCTTCAAGCACCCCATTATTTTTTTTTTTTTTTTGCCTATGTTTGCAGCTCATGGAGGTCTATTATTTTTGCCTCTAACTATGAGGATGGTTGTAATCGGTTAGTCGATTTACCGTTTAACCTTTGATTATTAATCGTTTAACCAATGGTTAGTTATTAACTAAAACTGGTTATCGAGAACCGACCATTTATCATTTAATCGGTTATCGGTGTAACCATTAAGTACCGATTCCAGTTCAGTACTTCGGTTATCGATTACACTGTTACGAGTTAACCGTTTATTAGTCTTACAGTGACCAATCGTGCAATTTACCCCCTTTTATAAGAAAAAACTAAATGATAATTGCAAGATTGAAGAGCACTAGGCTAGAAAAGAACAATATGGGATTGATTATGGTAAATATTTTGCATACATATAAACCGAGGGGTAGGGGGTGAAACTGAGTCAAACCTAGCCATAATTTTAGAACTAGCCTAAAATACTCGATCCTGGTCCGATACCCAAAGTTATTTTTTCTTATAATTTAGTATCAAAATTTCATTTTTTTACAAAAAGGTCGAGAAATTTTGGTGGTAAAATTATATTTTTTATTTTTATATTTTTAGATTGTATTATATTACCTACACTTCTTAAACTTGACAAACAGGTCTAATATTTTGGTATGAGAAATTTTAAATTACTAGATTTTGCTATTGATCATAGAGCTAAAAGTGACCCTACTTTAAGTTGACCTGACCCAATCCAACCCTTATAGGACCAAAAAATGACTCGACCCTGACCCTATACACAATCAGACCCAAACTAATCCTGAAGGTCGTATCAAATTGGGCCGAATAATTGAATTTTTAGAGTCAGGCATACACTCCTACCCAGAGGTAAGCAAAGATAGAGTTTCATGCTAAGGGACATGCACATCAACATGAAATTGAGTATCATGAAGATTGGTAGTCGAACCTCAGGTCGAGATACAATCAGAACATTTTTTGTCGTAAGATCAATCGTTTGCATGCAACATTGAATGGAACATAACATTCATTTACGTCCTGCATATCATTTTTTTATGCGACACGTAAAAATGTTACTTGGGATGTAAAAGTGTGTTACATCCCGCGTAAAACATGCATCATGATGTGCAATTTGTTTCAAAATGGATATTATCTTGTAGGGCACATGTAATCTTTTTTTTTATCGAGAAAGAATTAAAATTGATTTAAATAAATGAGATATGCTTTGCTAAAAATAATAAAAAAATAGTGATGAACAAGTTATGTAGAAATAAATTATTTATTATATCATTTACACATATTTAGTATTATAAAATTAAGAAAATATCATATATATCACACTTTCTAATATACTTTTTTCTTTTTCACAAGTTCTTTACTTTCTTGCATCAAAAAACATTTTCTCCTATAATTTTTCTCCTCCTAAAATTTGTCTTCCTCCAAAAAAATTTCCTCTCCTCATTTCCTCTCCCTCTTCGAAAACAGACTGTAAAACAAAGAAATGGCACATCAAAATTCATAACGTTTGAAAAAATCACATCAAGGTTTCAGACAAACCCCAAAGGAACGATGCATCATATACCTCACTATAGGGTATGTCCTCAATAAATCCAACGCCAACAGGTAGCACTCTCTAAACAACACTTTTTTTTTGAAGAGCTAAACAACACGTATAGTCTATAGGATCATTTTGACAGTTAATATCAGGGTGAAGAGAATTACTAATTAGAATGGTTGAAAGAGATTCATGTATAGAAGTTAAATATCAACTGAACTTTAACACGTGATCTCACTAACAAATAAACTCTAACACTATATTATAAATCATCTTATTACAATAACTTTACGGGTGCGCCTATGGTGCCTTCCATGTCACCATAACTTACACTTTTCGGTCGACCTCAGTTAGCATTAGATCGACCTCAGTTAGTATTAGGTCGACCTAATTTATTGTTTCAGTATAAAAACAGTTTCATGGTGCCTACTTTGGAGATTCATATCTTACAATTGGCTCGATAAGAAGTCCCTCAACATATTAGATCGACCTAATCATAGCAGAGGTCGACCTAATTCTAACTGGCTCGATATGAATCTCCAAAGTAGGCATCATCAAACTGTTTTTGCACTGAAACAACAGATTAGATCGACCTAATCCTAACCGAGGTCAACCTAATCCTAACTGAGGTCGACCGAAAAGTGCAAGTTACGGTGACATGCAAGTCACCTGATAGAACTTGTGTTAGGGATTCTATCAATCCGATTGTCGAATTGGGATTTAGGGATCAACAAACACAATTAGGATTTTGAGAAGAGAAAGATAGAGAATCGGCCTAGGCCTTTAGAGGGATTGAGATCGAGAATTGAGATGATTGGGATAATAGGGATTAGGAGAGTTTTCTTAATATTCTTCTTGATTAATCCTGAATAAAACGCAAGTACATATTTATAACGAAAGAACTGGAAAACCCTAACAATTAACCTAATACGACTAAAGACTATTAACCCTACTAGTAACTAACTTAATAGTAACTATAATAATAATAATACCATAATAGAAACCGTGTGTTTCTATCATCATCGTAGCAAAGTTCTAACTTTACTTGTTGGAAGATGTTGAGCTTCCACATTCAATTTTCAATATACTAATATCTAGCATTATAAAACAAAAACGAGAAATTGAAGGAGAAGCTTCGGCATTCAATTCTCTCTTAAGCCACCACTCTTTATAAATACCGCCACGCCACGCCACACCTTTCTCATCATCAACATACTCTAAACTTCCTCAACGCAAGATGGCGTTGGAGCAGGACGAGGATTGCTGTTGTTGTTGCTGTTGTCGCTGTATCGCTGAAGGCATGCGGCGCATCATTGCTGCCTTTAGCACTGGCCACAACTGTACATGGGCGCTGGGCCGTGCTTGGGCCGGCACGGCACGGGCACGCTTCGAGCCCATTTATTTCGTGCCGTGCTTGGCACGGCCCGTCAGTTTTCGTGCCGTGCCATTCAAGCCCATTTGTTAACTTTGCTAGGCCCGGCCCAGGTCCGGGCACGGTTCAAATCGTGTCGTGCCTATATAGGGGGGAAAATAAAATTGGAAGTATAGCGAGAGTGATTTGGCTTTGTTTAATTCTTTGTCCATTTTTACTTATGTTAGTAATTACGTATATATCTTTATAACACTTCTAACAACAACAAATAATTATTTTTCTGCTTGTGTTTTGTAATATTTGAACATATAATTATTTTTATATTTATTTTCTATCAAATAAATATTATTTTCCTATCATATTCGTTCTTATATTCAATAAAGTCTCGAAAATATTAGGCCCGACACGGCCCACTTATATACCGTGCCGTGCCCGTGCTCGTGCCTGTGCCCATGAAGTTTAGGTCCGGCACGGCCCATAAATTATTCGTGCTCGTGCCGGGCTGGCCCATTTATTTCGTGCCCGTGCTCGTGTCGTGCTCTAACCGTGCCGTGCCGTGCTAGCCCGTGGGCGGCACGGCCCGTTGCCCACGTACAGCCACAACGACGACAATGGCGGCCAGAATATTGCAAAGAGGGAAATCAAAGGCACCGTGGTGCTGATGAAGAAGAACGTGCTGGAGTTAAATGACGTCAACGCTTCGGTCGTCGATCGCTTCGACGAGCTCTTGGGGCGGGGAGTATCCCTGCAACTCATCAGCTCCGTTCATGGCGACCCTCGTAAGTCTTTCCTTTGGAAAAATAACTTCTGTCTTAGTTACTTGCTTTTTGGTTTGCTTTTCTCCCCCACATTTAGTGGGTTTTTTTAGAAACCAAAGCTGTTTTTTTTCCCCTAATGGAGGAGGAATTATAAGCTTGAGTTGAGACCAGCTTTGTGACTAGGGAAGGCAAATGGGTAGGCGGGCCGCGAGTATCTCATTACTCATATTTGTCTTGCATCAAATGCTGGTCACGATATGGTAATACTCGTGTGAATATGGACGGAGCAGATCAATCCATTAACACAATGTAAAAAAAAACTTTATAATAAAATAAAAAGAATATTTCATGAATGAAAAATAGTGATAATAGAATAATTGATTGAATTTAAATAATTGAAAGATCGAGTCTTGTACCTATTTAAAGTTTTTTTGAGTGAGACTATGATTGAAATAGGAGAATTACAAATGAATATTGAAGAAATTTGAAATAGGAAGGGCCAAGAATGAGATGAGGCAAAACAAGACAGGTCGGAAGTAGTAACTCATATACATATACTACCGTATCCTACCATATCTGCTACCGTGGGCTGAATAATACTAACCCAATACTAATCATGTCGGATAATACCGAATAGGGCGGGTCAAATTGTCTTAAATGTTGTTTGTAGGGGTGGGCAACGGGAAACGGGTATTTGGGTATACCCGTACCCGTCCCGTTTTTAAGGGTTACGGGTACCCATATTACCCGCAATATTTTAAATGGATGGGACTTGGAATTGGACTGTCCTAATATGGGTACCCGCGGGTTACCCGTTAATACCCGTTTGGGTAATATGGGTACCCGTAATACCCATTCAAAGTACAAATACATTTATTAAATCAGCCAGGCCCAGCCCAATTGAAAAAAAATTTCGGCCCTTACGGCCTTACCCACGACTGGTCTGGACGCGCACTCGCGCAGAGAGTTGACTTGAGATTTGAGAGTGGACGGCTGGACGGACGCGCAGCCGGCAGCCGTAGCAGCTTCTCTGCTTCTGGGTCTGGACAGTGGACGCGAATACGCGCAGCTTCTCTGTTCATTCACCGCCGCCGCCGCCTCTGTGAGCTCTCCCTCTCAGAGTCTCAGTTCCTCATCCTCTCCTTTGAGCAGCCGCCGCCTCAGAGTCTCTGTTCCTCATCCTCTCCTTTGAGCAGCCGCCGCCTCAGAGTCTCAGTTCCTCATCCTCTCCTTTGAGCAGCCGCCGCCTCAATTCCAGTCAGCGACAAGCTAGACGAGCAGCGGAAAATGGATGCTTTTGGATGCAGCAGTGGGAAAATGTGATGTTATTTAAATTTTAAACTTTGGGTATTTTATGGGTAGTATGGGTACCCGTTATCCGTCCCGCACGGGTAATGGGTACCCGTTTCCCATATGAGTTTGGGATATGGGATGGACTTTGGTCTCCAAATGGGACTGGGTACCCGTTTAAAACGGGACGGGTATCCCGTCCCGTCCCGTTTCCCACCCCTAGTTGTTTGCTTCATTCTTTACTTTTGCAAGACGGTACTTTATTCTCATTGAAATTGAGCCATTCACATTTATTAATGCATAAAAATTAAGATGCACGTGATCCATCGAGTTGATGGGATGGTTAAGATTTGGTACCTACCTACCTACTAAGTACATTGTTTGACTGCAAGCTAGCCATATAGAATCCATCCACCAGTTGCCCCTCTCCGATCTATTGCGCGCCTATTGTTCTTAAGACCATCTACAATGCTAGGGGCAAAGTGCCAATTTTTGGCACTTTTGGGCTTTAATAGCTAAAGCTAAAGAGTCAAAGTGTTAAATTCTAAGATTTTGAAAGCCAAACTTGGCTCACAAAAAACAAAAAGTGATAAAGCAGAAATAAAATTCGCATCAAAGGAGAGGGGATGAAAACGCGCGGGGAGGGGAAGAGGGAAGTAGGGATGGCAACAAAACCCGAACCCACGGGTACCCACCCGATCCAACTCGGTCAACGCGGGTAAAACCCGTGTTAACGGGTTTTAGGTCGGGTTTGGGTTTAAACCTGTTCACTATTTACCGGGTTGGGTTTAGGTAAACCCGACCCATGGGTACCCGCCCAAACCCATATAGTTAATTTTCTCGCTGTATTTAACATTCTAAGCAACTAATCTTATTTATGTTTGTGGAGACACGTCTAATTTTTCTTTCAAATTGTGTAGAATGAAGTTGATGTTATCGAGTGGAGAGTGAAGAAACTTAATTGAAAAGAATAAGCTTTCAATTAATCATGTTATTTATGGATAATTTGTGATTTTCTTCAATTTTCTTCAGTTTTCTAGATTGGTGTTGAACAATTTGTATAGTTAATTTGTGATTTGCTTGAATTTCTAGAATGGTGTTTTATATATGGATAATTTGTATTGAGAGATTGATATTTGACTTTAATTTTGATAGGAACTTGTTATTGTAAATATTTTACGACAAAAACCCGTGGGTACCCATGAACCCACGGATACCCAGCGGGTTGGGTTGGGTTTGAGTTTTTCAAACCCAGTGGGTTTTACCCCGGATTTTTTTCACGAATAAACCCATGGGTTTGGGTTTGGCATAACCCGACCCAACCCGACCCATTGTCATCCCTAGAGGGAAGTGGTCGCCTGCTTCTCGCGCGCGTCCCTTTTTTCTTTCTTTTTTTTTATTAATAATGGCAAACTACAGATCAACTTCTAGAAAACTTCTCCACCAGCTACAAATTTCGTCCCAACGGCTATTTTCTCCTCCAACTGCTATTTTTTGTCTCAACACCTATATTTTTCAATTTGTTTTATAAATACCACCATATATCAAAATTAAAAAAAATATATCAAAATGTTCATTTTCTGTAACAAATTGAGTGCGTTCAATGCACTCACAACTCAAAAACTAGTCTTAAGGTGTTGGATTTTGAATTTTAATTTGTACAATTAGTGTAATATGATGATATAACATATGATAACAAATAATTAGTCGATTACCCTAGACCTCCAATTTTGAGTTCTATTCCTAAACTCCAAATTGTAAACCCCCACCCTAATCCTATGTCTCTAAACTCTAAATCCTTCAAATTAAAGCAAATCTTTAATGGTTTTTGTGCAAATTTATGTGCGTTATTGTTCATCACATCATAAGTGATGATTGACATCATTTTGACATGAATCACATGTTTAAAAAGACGGTTATGAAGTGAGTGCACTGAATGCACAAAAAAATGTGAGTGCACCGAAGACGCCACCATATATTAACTATAAATTATTTGCTAATTTTTACTCAGTTGACATTAGTTAACAAGGGGAAAAACTTGCCTCTCCTCCCTATTTGTTTTAAATTGGTGAATTTGAAAAATAGTGAATATGATTGGTGAGTTTGTTTTAAATTAATATAATAACTAATCATTTAAAAAAAAAGATTTAATATACTTGTATATCCAAAACTTTTACAGTTGTGCCAATAATATCCAAATTTCCCGGAATACCACTTATATCCATGTTTTAAAGTTGTTCTTTGCCAAATTTATCAATTTCCCAATATATTTTTGGTTAAATACACTTGTATATCCAAAAACACTGTTAAAGAATGTGAAGGAATTGGATATAAGTGGTATTTCGGGAAATTTGGATATTATTGGCACAATCGTGAAAGTTTTGGATCTACAAGTGTATTTAACCTAAAAAAAGTAACTCTATGGTTTGGACCAAACAACCCAGAACCCGACCTGTTCGTAACCCGAGTAACCCGCAATCCGATCAACCCGAACGCGATTTACCCGCAACCCGAATGATTCACAACCCAACCAACCCGAACCCGATTTGCTCGCAACTCGATCAACCCACAACCCGATCAACCCGCAAACCCGATAAACCCGCAATCCGATCAACCCAAACCCGCTTTACCCGCAACCCGATGAACCTGTAACCCATTTGAACCCGATCCGAGCCCGCTCGATTGACACCTATACAAAAAATTGTACCGAAATATAAATAATAAAACCGTGAAAGAACTAAGATACACCCACAACGAACGAACCATCTTGGATTGGTGTGGTGTAATATATGTGTTGAAACCGATTCAATTTTGACCAACATCATCTAATGTCTCCAAATTTACCCTAAACTGTGAACCCAGTACCCATGAATGAAGCGATTTCCCATTGTACTTTTGTTCTGTGCAGAGAATGGCAACAAGGGCAAGCTTGGGAAGGCAGCGTACTTGGAGAAGTGGATCACAACAATAGCTCCATTAAAAGCCGGCGAAACAGCCTACGATGTCAGCTTCGAGTGGGAAGAAGAAGAGATCGGAGTTCCAGGAGGGTTTCTTATCAAGAACAATCACCAAACGAGTTCTTCTTAAAGTCTCTCACGCTTGAAGATGTTCCTGGGGAAGGAAGAATCCACTTCCCATGCAACTCCTGGGTTTATCCTGCCAAGAACTACACCAACGACCGCGTTTTCTTCACAAACAAGGTTTGCTCAACGCTGCAGTTTGTTCGTGCTTCTGTTAGGTTAAAATGACTCCATGGTTTGCTCAATTGTGTGACCATTTACGCATTTAACTGTGATTTCTACTTGCTGCCTCTGCTCTGATCATGCAAGTTAACGTTTTCCTCCTGTTATTTTTGAGCAACAGTCGTATCTGCCACATGAGACGCCATTGCCATTGGTGAAATACAGAGAAAAAGAGCTGGTTGCTTTGAGAGGAAATGGGGAAGGGGCGCTCAAGGAATGGGACCGAGTGTATGATTATGCTTGCTACAATGATTTATGGGATCCTGATGATGGGGATGCAGATAATGCCAGACCAACTCTGGGAGGATCGGCTGAGTACCCTTATCCTCGTAGGGTAAGGACTGGCAGGCCGCCCTCTAAATCAGGTAAAGTTACATATGGCCATTAATACCCAAATTCATAAATTAAATCCAATTCATCCATTAAAATATACAACAAATCCGATTCATTCAAATTCAATTTATTTTATCCAAATTCAATTGAGTTAGTGGACTCAGATTGGATTCATGGATTGTTGACAAATTACATTTTAGTTTTTATACTTTTTATATTTTACAATTAATTTTTTTAGAAGAGAAGTATCCTTGGAAAATAATGTTTTAGCACCTAAAATTTTTCAACAGGACATTTTATTACCTAAACTTTTCAAAAATTTCGTAACGGTCTAAAATTTGGATGTCATTTGGATCCATGGATAAATCTACCAATCCATTTGATCCAATCAATTTGCCACCTGTAGGTAAATCCCATTTCCAACGGAATGTAACATATGTGTTTACTAGCCGGAGTGACTTTCAATAACAACATATTTAGATGAAATTTTAAGTGAGGAATTAGAATGGATGAACAAAATATAATATTGGTAATTGGATGCATGGAAACTATGTTTATCATCCTATTTACATTTCATTTTGATTTCTGAGCATTGTGTCTTAGCAGATCCAAATGTAGAGAGCAGGCTATCACTACTGATGACCCTAGACATATACGTCCCAAGAGACGAGAGATTTAGTCACCTGAAGCTGTCGGATCTCCTTCTTAACGACCTCGAAGCCATCGTTCAAATCGTGAAGCCTGAACTGGAGGATATGTGCTCTGGAAATGGGAATGAATTTGATTCATTTGATGATGCTTTGAAGCTATACGATGGAGGGGTGAAGCTCTCTGGAGGTCCTACACTCGATAACCTCTGGAAGAATAATCCTTTAGATATCATCAACCTGAAATACCCTTTGCCAGAAGTGATCAGAGGTACATAAATAAGTACGGTATGTATACAGGAAGGATGACAATGGAGATTTATCGATGTTAGCTCACTTTATTTCTTCTTTGTGTTGATGAAAATTTTTGAGCAGAGAGTAGGACTGCTTGGAGAACTGATGAAGAATTTGCAAGGGAAATGTTGGCTGGGCTCAACCCTGTTATCATTAGTCTTCTTCAAGAGTTTCCACCGAGGAGCAAACTGAATGCTAAAGTCTATGGCAATCAAGACAGTTCGATTAGTGAAGAACACATAAGGCATTTCCTGAAAGGATTGACGGTAGCTGAGGTAAAGTATCTCTTCTGTTGTGAAATCGACTCAACTTTTAATTAAATGAAAATAATCACATACCCGCAAAATTAACAATAATAATAATGAAATTGGCCCAATAAGCTTCGTAGCATCCTCATCTGGCCCCTACAAATTTGTCCCAGATATTGATGAACTGAACTTAATATTTTGTTTGGCTCTTCAGGCAATCAAGAGCAACAAGCTATTCATACTAGATCACCACGACACAGTGATACCATACCTAAGAAGGATTAACGACAACACCACCTCCAAAACATACGCAACAAGAACAATCCTATACCTGCAAAACGATGACACATTGAAGCCAATGGCGATCGAGTTGAGCTTGCCACATCCCGGCGGAGACCAGTTCGGAGCCATTAACAAAGTCTACACTCCACCACCTGCAGATCAAAAGGAGGGAAGCCTTGAAGAAATCATTTGGCAGTTGGCCAAAGCATATGTAGCAGTAAACGATTCTGTCTCCCACGAGCTCATTACCCACTTCTTGCACACTCATGCCGTGATAGAGCCATTTGTAATTGCAACAAACAGGCAGCTGAGCCTAATCCACCCGATCTACAAGCTTCTGCACCCTCATTTCCGAGATACTATGAGCATAAACGCCATTGCGAGACAGATCCTCATCAATGGCGGAGGAGTGGTGGAGTTGGCGTTCTACCCTGCCAAGTACTCCATGGAATTCTCTTCTTCACTATATAAAGACTGGAACTTCACTGAGCAAGCCCTCCCTCAGGATCTCAAGAAAAGGTAAATTGATGACGAGTGATAATGGAAGATAAAAATTACCAAGTCTTGAGCTCATCCAGGCATTTTATCGAACACCTTGCAGGGGAATGGCAGTTCCTCACCCAGAGTCCAAACACGGCCTCCGACTTCTGATCAAAGACTACCCATACGCCATCGACGGGCTTGACATCTGGTCGGTGATAAGAAACTGGGTATCCGATTATACATCACTGTACTACAAAACCGATGAGGCGATTCGGAGTGATACCGAGCTCCAAATGTGGTGGAAAGAACTGGTGGAGGTCGGCCATGGGGACAAGAGAGACGAGCCTTGGTGGCCCAAGATGGAAAATCGAGAAGAGCTCATTGAATCGTGCACGACGATGATATGGATTGCGTCGGCGCTCCATGCGGCCACGAATTTTGGGCAGTACACTTACTCCGGCTACATGCCCAATCGCCCCACCAACAGCCGGCGATTCATGCCGGTGGAAGGAACGGCAGAATTCGAGGAGCTGAGAGAGAACCCAGATAGGGCTTTCATGAGGACGATCACGGCGAAGCTTCAGACGCTGCTGGTGATCTCGCTGATTGAAGTTTTGTCAATGCATTCCTCGGACGAGGTTTATCTAGGTCAGCGGGATACAGCGGAGTGGACGGTGGATTTGGCGGCGGCGGCGGCGTTCGAGAGGTTTGGGAAGGCATTGGCGGAAGTTGAGGAGAGGATTGTGGAGAGGAACAGAGAGGAGAAGCTGAGGAATCGGCATGGACCGGTGAAGATACCATACACTCTGTTGTTTCCGTCCAGTGGGGCTGGTATGACCGGCAAGGGGATTCCAAATAGTATTACTATTTGAAAAAATTGGATTAAATTATTAGAATTTCCTTACTCGTGTGATTAGCGCACAATTTAACTTTTGTATGCATAATTGCTCTTGATAATTTATATCATTACATTAAGCTGTTCCAATTTTCATACATAAATTTTTTTTTTTTACAAAAGATAATCATATATTGATTAGGAAATAAATAATTACATTATGGAATTTAACTAGGCCATAAAATTAAAGAAGCGACTTGTAGTCGGGTACAAATGAAGGGCCTTATTAACCACCAAATAGACTAACATATTACTACGCCAACCTACAAATCGCATATTGAACCCTCTTTGGTTTGATAAGCAATGCACAACTTCGTCTAAAAGGACTCCAATCCGACTGTCTCTGATATAGAATGATTGGTACCTAAAATTTTTCATTATGACATTTTAGTACCAAAACTTTTCAAATTGTGCATTTTGGTCCAAGCCTTTGATCTCATTTGGATTCATGGATCAATCCACCAATCCAATCCACGAATCCGATCCAATTGCCACCTCTACTTACAATTGATTGTGTTGAGGGATATGGATACAAACTCCGTGAAGAGTATCATGTGTGTGTTAGAAGTTAGAGGATCAAAATGTAACTAACCCATAGAGTTTATTGGCGGCTAGGATATATATGTTGAGTTAGCCGCCTTTGTCTTGTAAGCTGCACCAAAAATAATACGAAAACTCTCTGCCTTGTGCCGTGGACTAGTCTCAACGTTCTACGTTGAGGAAACCACGTAAATCTGATGTTCGTGTTTGTGATTGTGATCGTGTTTATTGACATGGTATCAGAGCCTCTCAATCTCTGAGTTCGTGATCTGCGTTTGCGTTATTAAGGCTGTTGTAAGTCTTCTATTTCCGTGCGTTCGAGGGTCTTCTATGGCGGCTTCAAGTTTGTTCGAGGGTTTCTATTTCAGTGGGGCTATTGGTTTCGCGTGCGTGGCTTTTATTTCAGTGTGTCAGAGGGTTTCTTGTGTGGTTGCTACAAGCTTGGACGTGTTCAGGGTGTATTATCCTCTTGCTGGGTTATTTTTGCAGCCTTCTAGGCTTTTGGTTATTGGTTTCTTTTGGCCTCTCTACTGCTCACCTCTGCTGTTGGGTTCTGTTTCCACGCGAGATTATGGAGGGTCAGAAGATTGATGTGATTTATGTCCGGTTCCATGGTAAGAATTTTGCTAATTGGGAATTTCAATTCCGCATTTTCGTTCAAGGTCATCGAATGCTTGGTATTTTGGATGGCACGATCTCGGCGCCTGCGGAGGATGCTTCGGCAAAGGCCAAGGAGGAGTGGGAGCGCGTTATGAAGGTAGAGAGTGATGCTCTAGATGCAGCTCATACGTGGGACTTAGTTCCCCGTCGCCCTGAGTATGCAGTTATCGGCAGTAAGTGGGTCTACAATATTAAGATGTTTCCTAATGGCATTATTGAACGTCATAAAGCTCGCGTGGTGGCACAGGCGTTCCGTAAGGAGTATGGCATAGATTATGAGGAGACCTTTGCTCCTGTTGCGAAGATGCAGACTGTTCGCAGCTTGCTGGCTGTTGCAGCAATGAAAGGGTGGTCGTTAACTCAGTTGGATGTGAAGAATGCATTTCTTCATGGTGATCTTAAGGAAGTAATTTATATGGAACGACCGCCCGGTTATACGAAAGGTGAAAGTTCTATGGTCTGCCGTCTTCGTCACTCCTTGTACGGACTAAAGCAGGCACCACGAGCATGGTTTGAGAAGTTCCAGACCACCATTCTGCAGGCTGGTTTTGTTCAGAGTACAAGTGATCCGTCTCTTTTCCTGCGAACTACTAGTCGAGGTCTGACCGTTCTCTTAATCTATGTAGATGATATGGTTATTAGTGGAGATGATGTGGACGGGATTAGTGAAGTGACACAAGTGCTACGCTCGGCCTTGAATCTGAAGGAACTTGGCACTCTCTCTTACTTCCTAGGCTTGGAGGTTCATCGTTCGCCATTGTGTATTCATGTTGGCCAACGCAAGTATGTACTGGATTTACTAGAGGAAGCGCAGATGGATTCCTGTGTACCGTGAGCTACCCCGATGGAACAGAACCTAAAGCTGAGACAAGCTGAAGGTGAAGTCTTGTCGGATGGATCTTTGTATCGTAGCATTGTGGGCAGACTGATATATTTGACTTACACTCATCCAGACATATCTTATGCAGTTCAAATAGTAAGTCAATTTATGTCCGCACCGCGGTCTACTCATTGGTCTGCAATTCAGAGAATTTTGAGGTATCTTAAGGGTACTACTGATGTTGGGTTGCTATTTCCGGCCGGGGTTGAACTCGTTCTTGAGGCTTATGCTGATGCATACTATGCAGGATGTTTGGATACACGTTGGTCTACGTCGGGGTGGTGTGTGAAAGTTGGCGGAGCTTTCATATCATGGAGGTGCAAGAAAGAAGACGGGGTATCCAAATCTTCTACTGAGGCAAAGTATCGGTCGATGAGTGAAGTGGCATCTGAAATTACCTGGCTTTGTCGGCTCTTAGCCGAACTTGGGGTGGTGGTGCACAGTCCCGTAAGGTTACATGTTGATAATACTAGTGCAATTCGTATGGCCACCAACCCAGTTCTCCATGACAGGACAAAGCACATTGAAGTTCATGTTCACTATATCCGGCAACTGGTGACTGAAGGTAGAGTGGAGCTTGCATATATTACATCGGAGGATCAGACAACAGATTTGTTGACCAAAGCAGTTTCATCTGCTCGTCATTGGTTTCTAGCACACAAATTGATGTTGTGTAAGCATCATCAATTTGAGGGAGGGTGTTAGAAGTTAGAGGATCAAAATGTAACTAACCCATAGGGTTTATTGGCGGCTAGGATATATATGTTGAGTTAGTCGCCTTTGTCTTCTTGTAAGTCGCAGGAACTACAATAGATGGGGTTGAAAATGCCACAAAATCGGAGTGACGGGCAGGTGGCTTACCCTTCGTGGTACGATTGGAACGGCGGAGTTGGGGAGCATTCTCCTCCTCAAGCTGAAATGATGCCGCAGATGATGTTGCTGAAGCCGAGCTGTGATCACTTGTAGTTGCACTGGGGCTGGAAGAAGAGACACCTGAGGAAGACGTGGAGGTGCCCGGGCTTGAATCACCTGGAGAGGAGTTCGAGGAAGATGAAGAGGAACCACTAGAAGCCGAATCATTACTAGCCAATGATTCATCACTTGACGAATAGGAAGAGGAGCTCACAGGAGGGGGCTCGTCGACCAGATCACGCAAAAAATCTAGCATGAAGGACCTCCTGCGCTTACTCCCTCTCCCGATTTCCTTCCCCGTCCTCATGTCCTGCACAGCATAGCCATCGGCATAAAAAATGACCCGACATCCATCATCAGCAAGCTGTCCCACCGATACCAAACTCGGAACAAGTTTAGGCACATATAGAGTATCAGGAATAGATATATTAGGTTGAACGACACGCCCAACCCCGTGAACTGCCATTTTCGAGCCATTGGCAGCCTGAAGAGCTAGTTGAGGAGCCGAGTCACTAAGAGTATCAAACAAGCCTTTGGAACTCGTCATATGATTGTAGGCAGCTGAATCAATATGCCACTTAGTAGAGGAAGAAGAATGAACATTACCCGTAGCGAAAGCAGACGTCAGGGCGGCCGATAGAGAATCTTTCAAGGCCTCCTGCACCAAACGGCGGACATTTGCCGAAGTGAGAGAGACGGCGGATGATGACGCAACCTCCGTAGCATAAGTTGTCCCAACCGGACGAGAACCACCACGAGAGCCACCCCCACGACCTCTACCTCGGCGAGCAAGAATAGGACAATCCCTGATCACGTGACCATCCTGCTTACAGTAATTACAAGAGATATGCTTCTTACAATGAAACTGAATATGACGAGGCTCCTTGCAGTAGTGGCAAATCATCTCGCCCTTGGCAGTACAATGAAATTGAGGCCGACCACCGTGAACCGCAAATGCGTTAACATTCTCATGAGCATGAACATCCAGCTTGGACTGACTACAAAGACGAGTCTCTTCGCAAAGAAGAGCAGGAAGAACTTCCTCCATCGTATCCACATTACGATGAAGAAGGGAAGCATGAACCCCCTCGAACTCAGCCCGAAGATTCATGAAAAATCGCATGACCCGAGAAGCAGTACGCTCGCGAAGGACCTCAGTGGAGGCACCGACAGACACCAAGGAGCTCATCAAAAGATCATGCTCAGTCCAGAGAGTCATAGCATCCTGATAATACGTACTCACATCACGATCCCCCTGCTTGAGATTAGCGAGATCCAGCTCGACATCAAATTTCTTGGAGGCGCTAGCCTTCGAATACAGAGAAGTAAGATGCTGCCACATTCTCAATGCCATAGAGAACCCCCGCAAGCTCAGCGAGACACCCGGATCCATCGAGCCAAGCAGCCAGGTCATAATAGACCATTGTTGAGGAACAAAATGTAATTAACCCATAGGGTTTATTGGCGGCTAGGATATATATGTTGAGTTAGCCGCCTTTGTCTTGTAAGCTGCACCGAAAATAATACGAAAACTCACTGCCTTGTGCCGTGGACTAATCTCAACGTTCTACGTTGAGGAAACCACGTAAATCTAGTGTTTGTGTTTGTGATTGTGATCGTGTTTATTGACAGTGTGGGGCACTGAAAATCAATAGACTCTTATTGAATCGAATTTCCAAAGCCCACAAAAAACAAAGTACATGATTTGAGTGTTTTAGATGAGTTCATGTGTTTTATCCCAAAAGTTTAAGCTAATCTTATTGGTTGTTAGTGGATTAGGTGGTTAACGAGGAATTATTAGTTAGTAAGTAGTTAAGGGTATTGAGGTAAATTGTATATTTACTTATTTACAATTAAACCTAATTCCATAATTAAAGGAGGACTAATCGCCAACCCTTCGAAAACTCTAAAGTCATAAAGCCGCCCGTTAGGTTTTGTTATTTGGAGACGTCTTTCTCCTAACATTCTACCGCCTTCGACCCAGCGATT